TGGGCCGACCCACGAACTCCCAGAAGGGCTAGGTGGGAAACAGGAACGAACTGTGCACAACGAATGTCGTCACATATCCTTCCAGCTGTTGCAACCGAAAGTGAAAGCACCATGAGGTGGGCCATCAGAGCAGTCCCAGACGTCGCCTCAGCAAAAACGAATTCATCTGCATAGAGACAAACTGTAGCAGCACAATGTAGGGGCCGAAGACGGCGCCCTGCCCATAGGCCTGGTTGCCGTAAAGCCTGACAACCGCAAGTGGCCATACATTCATCCCAAAATGCCTGATTGCCGCAAAGCCTGGCAACCGTAAGTGGCAATGAATAGTCATACAACATGATAAAAGCAAATACGAAATAAATAAACCAAGCACTGAGCATAGGCGCGAGCTCGCTGGCAGTGAAAACACTGTACCTTGCAGTCCGCCCCGAAGCGTTGGTGCGTACATAATGCCTGGCCAGTATCTTCGCCCACACATGAAGCCCAGGTGATCACGAACCTGATTGGCTCCCGCTGCAGCACTGGAATCTGCAGCAACCCTCACTTCTACCAGCAATACTTTTGGCCTGTCTTCAGTGGCCCATCCAGGAATGCTGGTTGCCGGACTTGGGACCGGCACGGCTCGTAAAATAAAGAAGAGCGGACCTGCAGTGAGGATGCTTGAAGGTGTCACTCGTGTATCTCCCAACCGTGGGGCTAACTGCGTTTGCGCAACCAGCTCATCAAGTGGCAAAGGCGTCTCCAAAAACATCCAGTAGCAGAATGCCATGCAAATACCATACCAGATCCATGAAGGCCAGTGAGTGCACCGAGGACAGCCTGAATGCACGGGTCTCTGACATATCGCCATCGTCATTGCATCTTTGAATGGGTGCCGAAGTGCGGCTTCCCGGGCTCAGTATTGAGACACCATGTGCAAAAGCAAGAACTACAGCGTCCGGAGGGGGTCCTGTTGAAGAGAGAACCAGTTTGGCCTCGAACCCGGTTGACCCCCTACCAAAGGAAACATGTGATCCGAGCCGAGAAGCTTACGATGGGTTTCAACAAGATTCACATACTTTGAAGCACGCTTTGTACGGCTTTGAAACCAAAAAAAGCAGGGGGGTTGGGGGGGGTGCATGTACGATGGGTTTCAACAAGGCAACAAGGTTCATATGGGTCATGTGAGCATGCTTGCGCGGCCAAAAAACAGTGGGGGGGATTGGGGGGGGGGGCACAGCCCCCCCCATTTGCAAACACAATGCTCGATGAAGCACGCTTGCACAGCATATTCAACTTTGAAGCACGCTTCTGCACGACTTTGAAGAGAAAAAAAGAAGGCAGCGGCGGGGTTGGGGGGGGGCGCAGTGCCCCCCATTTGCAAACACACGGCTCGCACGACCGGTTTCGAACTCGAACTCGATTCCGCAGCGGTCTGGTCTGACCTACTAGCTAGCTGTAGCTCACGACTTGTTGTCGCGGCCGCTCTGTGGCGGCGGTTAACAGCTTCGGGTATGGACAGCAAGAGACGTCCCGCAGGAACCGGAGTTCAACTAGACTGCAGGCAAAACGGTCTCAAGCGCAACAGAGCCTACTCGGACCTACCGTGGACAGGAAAAGAACGTATTCACACAAACTCTAATGTACAGTGTATATACAAGAGAAACTACAGTACGGCTGGTCTCACAGTCCGCTCACTCACAGGGCTAAACAGTGTGGGCACGCTTGTGCCGCAAATTTCCGGGGGCCGATGCAAGAGCGGCACCCCCGTGCTGATGGAGCAATGCACGGCTGCATTTGGTGACGTGAGTTGAAAAGGATTCGGTACACGAAAGAAGAAGAGCAAAAGACCCCAGGGAGAAGTGAGTCCATCTCATTTTTTCGACGCACTAGACTCTGCAGTCGGGCGATCCGGACATGAGATGCTGGTTTTATGGTGATGTGGCCGAAAGGTCGGCTTCACATGTGCCATCTCTGTACAAATGTCAGAGAAAAATGGCTCAGACAGGGTTGCTAGCCTGTCACCCCGTGCACCCGGAAGGGGGGTGCACCCCCGCGTTTGTGAGAAAATAAAGTCAGCTCTCATCTTCAGGCCGATCCGCTTTCCCCAGCGGGGGGCCTGCGGATACAGCCAAGCACATAACAGTTGGACTGGATTTCGGGGCTTATGGCATCAAGCCTTTCCGATGTGACACCGTCGTCCATGTACCAGGCATCTGACCTGCCCGGTATCAAGCCAACGGTTCTGTAGTGCCCTGTGAGAACGGTTTCACCTAGATGCACAATGATGGAAACGAGGTCATAGGCAATCCAATCACACGCTATGCTGCTGTCACTTTTGAAGATCGGTAAGTGGACACAGCGGTTGTTGAATGTCAGAGGCACTCGGGTTTTCCTCGTGACACCATTGGTCGTGGTGTATCTGGGGAGGACAAGGAAAATGTGAGTTGGAGCTGCGCATAACGCATGCGGCTGGGCCTGCAGGTGCCAGTTAAGGATGAGGGCGTCCAGCTCCCCGTCCTGTATACCTCCAGGTGCTGCAAGAAGTAGCATTGGCGCAGCGGCCTCCCTGATTTCAACAGTACACCCCGCATCAACTGCTACTCTGGCCTCCCAGTGAATGAGACTATCAGTCCATGCCAGCTTAGGGATGATGAACTGTATGAATTCACTCACGTCATGTTGTCTGGTGGGCTGCATCCAGCCTAACATGTACATGCGGAGAAACATCGCTGCATCCCAGTGCGTTTTGGCAAGCGCCTTCTGCCAAGCATCAGGTATGCGACTCCCCGGCCTGAGCTGTGCTTGCCACAGGGTGGCAGTCATGACGGAGTTGATGTAGCATGTGTACTCGGCACACCAGCAGGTGGCCGTGTACATCCTGCGGCACTCAAATGTTTTCCAGCGCCTTTTGCAATGCCATTGCCAGGCCGTGGCGCTGCTGGTTTGGCGGCTGAAGTTGCGCCCCCATCACATTCCAAACTGCGCAGTTGGCCAACTGTCGCAATTTTTGATGCAGGATGTTTGCCCTCGGGTCTCTCATGGCTACTTCGATGAGGAACACTGCCTTGTTCGCCTTCCTGGGGCTCTTGTTTGGGACGCCTCTGGGGGCAGAACCTGGTGACCAGATCCGGAAGACAAAGCTCTGCGACCTGATTGATGAGCTCCGTCGCCTCTTCCACCGTCAGGCTCTTGGCTGTCGCCGACGGCTCCACCTTCTTGGTGGCCGAATTCCACTCCTGATAGACGAAGCGCTTCTGTTGGTCGAGCCACTGGTGCTTCATTGCATTCTCCACCACCGTGGGGTCGCCTACCATGAAAACTTTTGTAAAGCCACAAAGCGCCTGCAGTCGAAACTCGGTTGAAACAACTGTACACTAACAAAACGTGTTTGACTATGTTCAAGACACATGGCTTACGATAGCGGAAAGGTTTGTCACCCCGCCTTGAGTTATGGCTCTGCCATCAACTCACTCACCTACAAACTCCCAACTTTCAGCACTGCTGGCTGATAGTCGAAAATGTTATCTCAAAGGAACAGTAGGTTTCAAAGCGGTAAACGAAAAGAAACTTGTCAAAACATGCACTGCACAATCTGAAGAAACTAATTTACATCTGCCACTCAATGGAGCTTGATGCACGTAAGGCCGTGTGCATCGTAAGAGCTCCCATTGTGAAGCTCACATCTTGTCCCTTGTCTCACAGCCTTGATGCACGTAAAGTGTGAAGTCGACCAGCACTGGACTTGCACTAAGCCAATGCAATCACAGCCCGGTCACGCTGTTTTACGACTTCGCGAGTTCAAGCTCTTGTGCAGCTACGCCTGAGTGCGTCCGGTCGGACCGCACAGCAACCTAGGAGCTACTGTACGACTCTACCGTGCTCAAAGGCACAAGCTCGGTACTTGAGCCAAAATATTGGCATTGTTACGAATTGCAAAACTACACATGCAAGGGAAAACAACAAGCTTCACTAGCACTAAGCAAGCACTCCATGCATGCTCTGACCTGCTCACATTCGCCCCTCAGCCGAGGCTTCCGGCTCACCAAGAGCTCATAGTGCGTCAAGCACTTCAGCAACGCGGCAAATGGGGTAGGGTGAGGGTGTCGCGTGCGACTCTGGTAGAGCCCGCACATCCTGAGCATTGGCATGCGGCTTGGGCGGCAGCCCGCACTACCGGACGAACGCACGACGACAGCAACCCCTCTCACAAAAGTTGGGGTTTTATAGGAAAAGATCTAGAACGCAATCTGTGTACAATTTATTCCTCATGATTGGAATAAGTTTTAGTGAAAAGGTCTATCTTGTAAAATCTCAAAAGTAATTCCATCTTCTATGTACACATGTGAAACTCAATCACATATATGTGTTGAAGACTCATTCGGTTACACTGACGCGCTTTTTCTTCAGTCGTGGGGCAAGCATGTACAGGATGCGATCTGGTTTCGCGATTTCCTGCTCTCCCAACATTGAGACGGGTGGGTGGGAGGGACAAAAATTTTCTCTCAGCCCGAGCTTGAGCAGCTATCCACATGAATGCAACTGTTGATTCAAGCATGCTGCAAGTCACACAGTTGAAAATCTCGTTCAAGATGCTGAGGAAAATTCTTTGAAAACTTGAAATAATTTCTGCAACTCCCAAAGGTCACAAAAGATCTCTAAAACCCCGCGCTCGAAGGTACAGCGCTACAACTTTAGTTTGAGAGAGAAATGTCAGGCAAGCTGAAATTTTCCCTCTCACAAAAGTTGGGGTTTTATAGGAAAAGATCTAGAACGCAATCTGTGTACAATTTATTCCTCATGATTGGAATAAGTTTTAGTGAAAAGGTCTATCTTGTAAAATCTCAAAAGTAATTCCATCTTCTATGTACACATGTGAAACTCAATCACATATATGTGTTGAAGAATCATTCGGTTACACTGACGCGCTTTTTCTTCAGTCGTGGGGCAAGCATGTACAGGATGCGATCTGATTTCGCGATTTCCTGCTCTCCCGAAATACCCCCTATTTAAGAGAGCTATCAGGTAAGATCGAATGCTTGCCGAATCCATGGAAAAGACTGACACGCAGCAGCTCCCGAAATTCTCAGGGCCTCCTCAGGCTTTCCCCGAGAAGGCCCATCAGCGATGTTCGAGTAACTCGGCACACGACATATCCAGGTATGACTTGGATTGGCATCCTCGGCAGCAGCGAAGCTCCTGATCAACGTGTCCATCGTGTGGGATTTTGAGCGGCCTTTTATGAGCCCAAAGCGACAGCCTTCATTGTCTGTCCAAATGATCACCCGGCGTCCTGAAAAACGATGAGCCAGGTGTATTCGCATGGCCACGACAGCGTAGGTTTCGATTTGTCCAATCAAGTGATCACCATCTGTCTGTTGCAGCGATTCGACCATGTCCTTTGGCATCTCGCCTCCATAAACTTCTGCAGATCCATCGTGTGAGTCGAAAAACACAGCCCCAACTCCGGCCACACCTTTTTCCCAGCTACCGTCTGTAAAGAGATGCACCGGAGAACTCGGCATATCTGCCTTGAGCTGGAGGGGCTTGGACGATTCCAATGCAGTTATGGCGCGTCGACAAAGCATCTTGACCGCAACAGGGGAAGGGTGATGTCCATGATGTACTATGGCATTCAAATCCTCACAGACATAACGTAAAGTTCTGCCTCCGAAGAACCCAGCCGCGTATCGCAAGAGGCCCAGAAGGACCTGGCCCTCGTGGCGGCTGAGGACCGCTGACTCTTGGATCTCTCGAAGGCGCTCAAGGAGTCGGTCAACCCGGCCGAGCTTGTTAGCCACCGTCAAAATCCCTGAAGATATGCAAGAGACGTCGAGATGCAAGCCCAGCACGTCAAAGGATTTCGCAAAGGGGAGGCCTTTGTGACCCTCACCGATTTCGGCATGTTTCCAACCCAACATGTGCAGGAACTTTGTGCATAAGAGGCCCACCTGTTCAGCATCTTCCGAAGGCACAAGGATTGGAAAGTCGTCGAAGAAGTTTGCATGAGGTATCTCCAGCACGACGTTCAATAAGAAGCTCAAGGCCCGAGCTATTCTTAAGAAGGCATAGACTGAAGCTGATGCCCCGAAAACCATTGCTGAAGAAATGAAAAAGATTGGGTGGCCATCGGCATCACGCAGAAGCAGAACACACAAGCTCCGATGTTGCTCACAAACTGCCATCTGTTTATAAGCACCACTTAGATCGAGGCATCGGCCACTCCATTCTCTAGGTACGACTCCCGGCTTTCCCACTACGCGCTTTGCAATTTCCATAGCCAAAGAGATGCAAAAGTCACCGTCCTGTAACTTTAGCTTCATGGTGCTGGTGAAAGTGCTGTTCAAGTCGGAATCGCAGGCATCGTCAATCGGCCTCAGTTTGCCTCCTTGTCGAACGCCGAACCTTCGCATCAAACTCCAATCCGACCTTCCCAAGTGCTCTGAAACTTCCTTTTCACTGCTGAACGGCCCCTGAAGCCATCCAGCCTGCGCCTCGTCCATAGTCACCTTCAGCAAATCGCGTTCGAGCTCTGGGTCGGAGACACGATTTTCCAGAAGTAACGCTGCTCGTTTCAAGGGAGCCACTTGACGGAGCTCAGCTTCGGTAGACGTAGCAGGTTTCACTTTGACGTCAAAGGCCGCAGGGCATTCGGATACACCCGACAACCGACTTTAGAAGCTCTATCGCCTCCATGTCGTCAAAGTTGTGCTGCCGCAACAATGATTCCAGGAGTAAGATCTTCTTGCCTTGCATCACAGACTGCATCCACGACGGCATAGCTGAGTGAAGTTTGCTCTCGTCTTGTTCCAGCTTTTTGGCAAGGATCTCTGCCTTCATCAGTGCGAGTTTTCGACGAAGAAAGAGGGCCCGGCGATCAGCAACCATGTTGGCCTCAAGGGAAGCCTTCAGCTCCTTTGGGAGTTCGTTCTCGGAGTCAAGAGGGTGGCACACTTTCTTGGCAGCCTGGAACCACTCACTAGGATCTCTGTAGAATCCAACCTGGCAATCTTCACCCCTATCCAAACCAAGCCCCTCACTGTCTGGAGAAGTTTCAGGAAAAACTTCGGCGGCCTCCCCCGAGTCACCCCCTTGCACGGGAGGCGCGCCGAGGACCTTGCAACCGGAGGAGGGAATCTGGCCGCGCGGCATTATGCTCACGAACTTGTATTCAGAAACCAAGGGCTTATGCTTACGGGTTTGGCGACCCACGGCTGACAGAGCCTGCAAACGAGGGTCGGGGGCTTCCGGAAGGCCAGGGGAAACGTCGCAAGCAGACGCAAAGCAGGCAGCCCATCGAGCCGCCAACACAAGAGGATACTGCGCCTCGAGATGAGTGGACCAAACCCAACCTCCAGCGCGCCAGCTGACGCCCCAAGGTTCATGCACATGACGGCCGCTGCAGCGGGCCCGAAGGCATCCAAAGGCATCCCGGTTGCTGAGCAGCTTGGTGGATTTTGGGCGAGCACCACCGTGCTCACACGCGTCGAAGATGATCTCATGCAAGTCAGTGAACCAGCGGCGGACCTTGGGCGAAGCGTGCTGTCGGACCTTCAAGGCTAGCACACTCCAGAACCACGAGTTCGTGGGGTTTTCGAGAGTGAAGACACAATCGTGCTCAGCACACCAAAGTAGGACATGAAAGACCAGGTCATAAAGACGATTGGCGGCGGCCAGGCGCAAACCATCATCGCTTGCAGGGTCGATGTGAGGCAAACCGAGGGGAAAGTCGGCGCTCCGAAGCGGCCGAGGGTCACGGAGGCCGAGGGCTTTTAACCTTGCCGGCAAGGGCCGCTCACGGGCCCGAGAGGAGGTGCCACAAGGGGGGCCCAGGTGCACCGCGGCAGGCTTTTTATCACTCAACAAGCGAAACAAGGCATCGCGGCCCAGACTGGAAGCAAGGTCAAGGCGAACCGTAGGAACCTGAGGGCGCCGGGGGCAGTTGTCGACGGCAACGGCAGTGAACCCGAGCCTCTGGGCGGCTCGAGCCAGGGTTGCGGAGCCTGAGAAGACCTCGAGAAAGAGTTTGGTTTGGCCAGGGATGGTCAAGGCGGACGAGGAAGGTAGGCGAAAGCCAAGTGAGCGTAGCCAGTCACGGTCGGGAGGGGGAAGCTTAGGACTGTCCCTGGGGGTGAAGGCAATCAGCACGACCCTGCGGCCCTGCCAAGGCAAAACAGCATGGCGGTTCACTGCGGCATGAAGCAAGACTGGCTCTGCGGATACCTCATGCAGACGCCCCCAGAAAGTGCCTGAAGCGTCCTCAAAGCGGTCAGCCCCGCCTTCGCATTCTTCCCAGATTTGGCCATTGCGGAACCTGGTCAAGGGGATGACAAGATTCCAGGAGGAGCGGTCGTTATTACAGTCCACATGGAGCGGGCTTTGAACATCATCAAGCAAGACTAAGCTGGAAAAGGTGTGATGAGGATTCACTTGGTGAACATAGCGGCAAAAGAGAGCGGCGCTCTTTGGAAAAGACTTAGTGTCAGTACGAATTCCGATCTGGGACCCGAACACCCAGGCACCGCAACCAAAGCTCCGGCGATGGAAGGCATCTCGTTTAGATGGATTCCTGGGTAACAAGTCGAAAACTCTCACAACATCAAAGGCCGCCAAGGTTGGCTTGCGAAGCAGTTGCTCGGCAAGGGCTTCGGGATCTAAACCAACGGAGTTGGCCTCAAAAGGCATGGGCGTGACACAATGCGGGGTGAGCGGCGCAGGCTCCGGGAGTAGGATGGAGCCCTCCGCCCGGAGTCAAGATCCCTTGGTACACAGATGGCCAGGGTGGTCGCCTCCACACCCGGCTCTCCAACAGATGTGGAAACCACGGCCGCAACGGTTCTTGGAGTTGACTCGAAAGCGGCACCTTCCTTGATTAAAGGCAAAACATACAGGCTTGTCGTTCACGCGGCTCACACAGCCGTCGGGCACCGTGAACTCCTTGCGAGCCTCTCCTTTAGACGACTTGCCCTTACCTTTACCTCTCCCTTTATCGCCCTTCTCACCCCCTTTCGGGTCATCCCATTTGCGCTTGCCTGGCCAGGGTGCAGAAGGAGGAGGAGTAGGGAGAGCATTTAGGTACTGCAAAACCTCTTGGGACTCAGACAACAGCTTGATCTGGGTCTCCAGAGGCTTCTCGCGGCCGGGCTCGCCGGCGAGTTTGCCAAGGAGGGCATGCGAGGCCAGCGTGAACAGGTGCCTGTCGGCAGCAATGAGTTGATGAGTGGTTACCTTGGAGTAACCACTGGGCACAGGCCTCATCAAGGCCAGGAAGCATTTGTGACACCACTCCTCAAGAACCTGAAAGCTGCAGAGACCCGCCAAATCATAGGCCAGCGAGCGACGGGTCCAAGCATTGCGCAGAGCCAAGTCAGTGTGCGTGTCACAAGTGGCGGACTCAGCTTTGCTAGCCATTTTCAAGTTCCCTTCGCCATCAACCACCACCTGCTGGTCTCTCTTCAACTGCTGAGCTTCTTGGGCACGGCTGATGATGCGGTAGGCTGGCAAGTACTGAAGGACTCCATCCTCCAGTTGTTTGACGAGAGTATCCACGACAGCATGGGCAGGCAAGGTTTCGGGTGAGAGAATGAGGCCCGTGACCCTCTTCTTCAAGGCTTCCTGGCGAGCCAATCGCTCCGCATTGGGCATAGCACGAACCACCGCTGTGTCAGCGGCAGGCTCCACGCGTGCCCTCATGTCAGCCACGCTCAGGTTCTGGGCTTCAAACATCAGACGTCTCACTTTAGAGGACTGATCAGGCGGGAAGTCATGGGGGAAAATGCTTTCTATCCAACGCTTCACATCGGCTTCATCTAGTTGCGTCGGTGTGGTTGACACAGCAAAAGCCAAGGTCCCGAAGCTCTTGAAGCCCGCATCGATGAGGGTGCGAATGGTGGATTCGCTCAATTTGACTTTCTGGCATCTCTCCAAAAACCAGGCCTCGCTGTCCACCGCGATTCCCGCCATGGCTCGACTCCTAGCAAGTCGGGACAACCTCGCTCCTTGTCGAGTTGAAGCCCAAAGCTCGACTTCGGACAAGATGGGTATTGCAACACAGTCAAACGTGTCCGCGGTTTCCCAGAGCAGAACCCCATGCTTTTATCATGACCGTGATTCCGAAGTGCTCTGACGGTGAATGAAGCCTCGGCTCCCACAGCTGGGTGATTCTCGATAAAGATTTCGAGTCAGCTGGAGTAGGCATCAGTTGTCCTCCCTCAAAGATCTCGACTTGCGTTCGAGTGGGAGCGACATCACCGATTGTCAGACTTCGGTGCGACGCCTGAGAATGGCTGAAGGATCTATCGTCTGTGCTGTTCACAAGAATAAATGCACTCGTTTTCCTTCAAGATTTCGATCACTCTGCAGCCTCCAAAATGTGCCGGCATTGTTTACAGGGGTCGGGGTCCTCAAAGTACACCCCCGCCTCACTGAAAGGAATATGGTTCCTCGAGAGAGGTCGGCCACACCACAAGTTGGCTTGATCCTTCAAACAATGCGTTATGCCGGACACAGTGTGCACTACAAGAGATTCCTTGGAAACATTTGGCCCAAAAGGGGCCCTCTCTAAGCCTCCCCCGCCGCGGCCTGGAGCCTCAGAAGCTTCAGAGCTTTGTGAAGAAGGGGGGTCCTCGAACTCGTCGAACTCGTGTTGTGGAACAGGCGCCTCGGGTTCCGTAGCAATGACCTCATGGGCGGCACTAGGCCTCTCCGCTGCAGCCACTTGCACCACCCGATCAACGTCAGACAAGTCAGGGTCATAGTCCCCCGCGCGAATGGCCTCGAACATCGCCATGACACGGCCGTACAAAAGGGTGTACTGCTGCCTGGCATAGGTGGCGGGTGATTTCTCCTTCGGAGCAATGTGGTGTCCAAGGAGGCGCTTTTCCGCCCCGCTGAATTTTGGGCGAGGGCAGCGGCCCGCCCAAGAGGTCAACGTCGCCTTCAAAGAATGTGTCGCCCTCTGCATGGCTTGGTCTTGATCGATTCCTTTCAAGATCAGAAAGTCCTGGAGGTAGCTGGTCGCCTCAACGCTTCCCATCTTTACAGTGCTCCAACGGTTTTGGCTTTCGAGACGTGACGGCAGCGCAAAATTCTCAAGAGAAAGGCCCTCATGTTCGCGAGCTTTTAGCCAAGCCTTTGCCCAGTTATGGCCAGACAGCCCGCAACCAAGTGCTGCATAAGGTAGCCGCCGGGTTTTTGCCTCCTTGGAGACCGTCGTCTTGGATGTCAAGCCTGAGGCAACAACAAGGATCACGCCGTTGGACTCCTGAATTGAAATCTCCTTAAGGTTCTGTGAATCGCTCCATCTGTCAGCCGAATGCGTGCAAAACAGCAGCTGTCCACAAATGCACGCAAGTACTGGTCCAGTTTCCACGCAAAATGCCTCCAATGCCATCACCATGGGAACGGTCAATTCAGGTTTCTGTTGCAAAGACGCTTCATCAAATACAGATCCCGGCTTATTCCAAGCACCCGACTGGAAAGGACTGTATCAGGCTCCATATGCAGCAACTTGGCAACCCCGTGCACAAAGCGAAGGCCTTCCACAAAGTGCGTCATACTAGTCGGCCTTGCTCCTGAATCACGCAAGAAGTTTGCATACATATATATGGTCGGCTCATCGACTGCCAGAGGGCTGTCTATGCTCTCTGTTGTGCACCAGGAGAAGTACCTCAGGAGGGACCCACCTCGCTTTGAGATTGTCCTGGAAGCTTTGGTCCTGAATGCATCTGAAAAAGTCTTCTTGATGGCCTCCTCGTTTACATCGGCACCGAGTAACGACAGCAAGGACCTTCCCAAGCTACTCACCTCTGGATCCCACAAGATGACCAGTCGCATCTTTTTGAGAGCAGCTGTGCGAATGTCTTCCTCGGACCGCTCCACAGTGATGCGTTTTAGGTACTTGACTGTTGTGGGTGGCACACACCTTCGCTTTGCTTCATCTTCGGATTCCTCTGGATCAAGAAAATCGTTTGCACCAATCACATGCAAAGGGTTCGTTCCTCTTTCCCAGGAAAAACGCAAAGATGAAGATGATTCCCATGAAAATCTCGGCCTGCTCTCAAAACGCTGTTGCGAAGTGGCTTCCACAGCTGCACGCTGGAAGTCGCCTAAGATTCTGTCTTCTGGAAGAGGAACCAGAAGAGATGCGTCATCAGTTTCCTGAAAAGAATGGCTTGCGACACGCAAAGTGGCACTCAAGTAATCGTCGGTCTCCAAGTCACGACAGGAGTCGTACCAAGCAGCTTCAGAAACTGAGGCAGGTGCACAAGACGAAGGCGGCACGTGTGGGCTGAAAACATGCTCGCTGCCCTGAACCCACTCTGAATCGACCCAGCCTTCTTCGTCCACTGGAACCCCGGGCAAACCCTGAAAAGGCCTATTGCAATCGACCCTGGAGTGACTCCCCAAAGATTCGGTGTCTTCAAGGGCTCCCGACTCACCCCCTGGGAAAGAGCCCTGAAGAGAACGAAGCAGAAACTGGGCTTGCTCGTCGGCGGCACGCAGATCGTACTCGGTTCGGTCAACCACACCTGCTGGGCCGAACAAGAGCCAAGGGTCGAAAGCGTCGGGCTCGGAAGGAGGATTGGACATTCCGCAAGCGGCACCTTAGTCGGACAATTGAAGAAGAAGGCGAGCACACGTATGCGGCCAGCGGCCGGAGCAAGCAAGAGCAAGCCAATGGGGAAGGTCGAGGAACAAAAGGATTCGAGATCCTTCTCTGGTGCTGACCAGCACGCCACAGAAAGAGCTTTCGATGACGTACGAAAAGAGATTGGGAGGAGCGTCCAGCTGCCGCTGAAGCGAAGCAGTATGAAAGGACCGAGGCCGGATGCAAATGGCCTGGAAAGGGAGGGCTGGCGGCACAACAGGCCAGTCCCAACTCACGGAGCTGCTCCCTGAGCTCGAGTCGCTGTCCATCCGCCGAGAGCTCACAGGCTCTCGGCTTGCACGACCCCTAAGGGGAGACCAATAGCACCCTCGAACCTCTAGCACGGCACCCTTACAGGATTAGCGGAGGCTCAACGAAGGACAAAAATTTTCTCTCAGCCCGAGCTTGAGCAGCTATCCACATGAATGCAACTGTTGATTCAAGCATGCTGCAAGTCACACAGTTGAAAATCTCGTTCAAGATGCTGAGGAAAATTCTTTGAAAACTTGAAATAATTTCTGCAACTCCCAAAGGTCACAAAAGATCTCTAAAACCCCGCGCTCGAAGGTACAGCGCTACAACTTTAATTTGAGAGAGGAATGTCAGGCAAGCTGAAATTTTCCTTCACGACCCTAAACCACCCCAAGTCGCGAGCTCTCACCTTTGTGCAGACAGGCGAGGCTCCAGAGTACTGGGCAGGTCTTTGTGCTGCTAGTGCAAAGCTATGGTACAAATGGTACACTGTACACTACCGGTCCTAAGCTACGGCTACGGCTACTCACCTATCCGGAACTACCCTACGGGCTACCAGACTCAGCGAGAGCCGCGCACATGGCTTGTGCCGCAGGCAATGCAGCTCACACGCGCTTCGGCGAGCGCATTGCCGCGACCAGGACACGGTCCGCAGCACCTGCAAAAGAGCACCCTCAGCACGAGGGGCCACAGGCAGGGCGGAGGAGAAAGGTGCGGGGAATGGGCAGGTTTCTAACCTGCCGCGGCTTTTCGCCCGCAGTCAAGCAAAAGAAAATGCAAAAGGTTGGCGAAGCAACGTGCCGTGCTGCAACGCCTGCTCTGATAATGCGTGGATGCATACCACGCCGCGCCGACTGGCCGCAGCCTACTCGATACCCTGTGGAGCAGTGTTGGGGGCACGAGTGGCGTTGCCAGCAACGTTGGAGCTACCGGCTCGCTCCAACTGAGGGCGCTTTGCGACCGCCTCATCGAGGGAGAATGCCTCAGCCGACACCCTCTGGAAATCCTCAATGTAGGACTGCGCGACCGGGTGCGTCTTGGGGACCTCAAGCCTAAGCCCTGCCTCCGCATTGGCTTTGCTGCTTGTGGTAAAATTGAGGCTCCCAATCAGCACCACCGCGCCATCAGGCCGCAGTAGGCAAAGGGCCTTGGCATGGTGAAGCCCTTGGATACCGGTACCTACTTTAGCCCCGCGGCCGTCGCGAGCATAGGCGTCGCGCACGGATGAGCCGCAACCCACCTTCACCTCGGCGCCTGCAGCCGCCAAGCGTTTCAACGCTTGCCACTGCAGTTTGGTGCGGTGGCATTGTCCCATGTCGGCGACAATCCGAACGCCTGCGCCCTTGCTAAGCGACGCTTCGATTGCCTCGATGCAGGATGGGCAATCTAAGCTGTACGCCCGGATGTAGATCACATCCTCTGCTGCTCCAGACCCAAGCAGCGTTTGGGCGGCCTGAACGTATGGCCCGCCCGCAAGGAATTCCGCTTCTTTGACTGGAGAACTCCTAGCGGGGACTGGGCCCTTGTTCCTCCGGCTGGGTGTGCGCGCCACAGTGGCAGTGGCGGCACGTTGCACGAAGCCGGACTGTGCGTGGGCTGCGCTCGCTCCATCTGCTGGGGCCGCGGCCAGGTCACGACCCGCGAGCCCCTGAAAGCAGGAGAGCCCGCGGCTCTTGGCCGCAAGTTGGGAGAAACATCCTTCACTGTTCCCCAAACCCAACACAACCTTACCCTTAGCCAGGGCTTCGGAGGCGGTACTCCGAATGGAGTCTGTGAGCGCAGGACCCGCGCCTCGCTGGGCCGCGTGCAAAAACCCTAGGGATCGAGCGGTGTCCATTGCGGCATCGCAATGCCCGCAACGTCCCTCTGCTAGGTAAGCACGACAGCCACAGGCAGCTGTCTCCTCCTTGAGGTGCACCCAAACTTTATGGGTCACCCCTTTCTTAGTGCTCGCGACCTCAAACGTCGCTTCAGAGCCAAGGAGTTGAGACAGCCGCGCCTCAGGGGCCGCGGTGTTGCCATGTCGCATATGCGCAATGCGATTGGCAACGGCACGACTCACGTACCACAGAACAGCGCCGCACAAGATCACTACTACCAGAGTGATGGCTGTTCCGGCGACCCACACGGTCCGCCTGGCCCCATGACCGATTTCCTCGACAACGTCGGCCGAAATTGTTGCAACCGCGTGCATGGAGTCCTCGACAACATGCACAGCCCCGCGGTGCAACTGCAAGGCAATCGGCGCCGACGCTGCAGCCGCCAGGCCCCACCAGCCGTTGATGCCCGCGGCGTAAGCGCCCCAGGCGTACCTGCCCCTCCCCTTGGGCTTGCCCTTGGCATCGGACTTGCCTCTGCCCTTCGGCTTGCCCTGGCCCTTGCCACGGGCGTCTGCCCAAGCACTCCAAGGGTCGCGGCCCTTGCCGTACGTCGCCTCTTCGCGACGTCGCTTGCCGCCCCTCTTCTTGTGTTTGTTTCTAAGAAGAGGTTGGATGGTTTCTTGGTCCATCGCACGATTGGCCAGAAGGATCTCGTACTCCAGCTCGTCCTGGCTGCTTTCGGAGCCCGAGTCCCTCTCTTCGCCACGCCGCGGATCAGGGATCCCGCGAGAGACGACCTCTGCCAAACGGAGAGGGGTGCTGCAGCGAAAGCACAGCTGCCTGAATGAAAGGTTCCATTCATAGCAGTTAGGGCACTGCCACCCTGCTATGCGGAGCGCCTCGCTGATGTGATCATCGCGCTCCGCCTTCTCCGCCTGGCGCCGCTCTCGCTTCTTGGCGCGCTCGGCCGCCTGCGCCTCCTCGGCCGCCTGGAGGGCTTCAGCGAGTTCCTCATCGCTGAGAAGCCTCGCGGCATCCGCCCGCGCTTGTTGTTCTTCAAGCTCTTCGGCAGAAAACCTCCGCCTCCACTGCTCTGGCGCGGTTTGAGGATCTACCTCCCACCACCCGATGTCGATCCCGTTGATCCATCGGCCGTCGCACGGGGCACCCGCATTCGGGCCGCCCGCGTGCGTGGTGAGGCACTGGTCCTCGGTAACCGGGTTGATGGCTTCGCAGAAGAAGCACCGCCAGCTGCCGTAGGGGTAAAAGCGGCCTTCGACGTAGGCTCGGTTGGCTGGGAGGGCGACATCGTCCGCCTCATCCGCGGTGCCTGCCTCCATCTCAACCGAGACCTCCTCGTCCTTGACAACCTCAGCTTCCTCCTCCTGTTCCTCCTTGACCAGGGGCTCTTTTTGCTCCCGGCCAACGTTGAGGTGGGACTCAGTGCGAACCTCGGCGCGCATCAAAATGACGTCAAGGCTGTCCGCGGCTGGGTCGCCCGCGAAGAAGGAATCGATCTCCTGAGCATGGAGATCGTCAAGAGGCGTCACCAGGTCTGGCGAGTAATCCCGCTTGGAACGACGCTCTGCAAGGCGTTGCTGAACGTCGCTCGTCGGCGGCTCGAGGGCCCGCCCGCGCGGAGCGGCCTCCCGCGGAGGTCCCGGCTCGGCCTCCTCC